ATCCTCCTTCCCGGGGCTCCTTCTCCGTCCACCCTCTTCCCAGCCTGGATTTGGGCTTGGAATTGCCCCTGATCCCGGTGCAGCCCCTGCCCTCGGTCCTGTGGAATCCCATGAAATTCCCACCTCTCCACAACCCCTGGGATGGCACCTGGATGAACCACCCCTTCGATTCCCCCTTTCCCAGGAATTCCCGAAAATTCCCTTTCCCAGGAATTCCCCAAACTGCCCAAATCCCACGGGATGCTCCCAAACCCCCTCCCTTTCCCCCGGGATCCCGTCGTGTCCCATCCCTTCCAACGCCACCACCATTCCCGATCCAAATCCCTCCGGGGGCCGTTTTCCCTCGGGAACGGCCCCGGAATTCCGGGGTTACCTCGGTGGGGATCTCCACAAGCCCGAACTGCTCGTTGAACTCCGGGGAGGAGCCCGAGAGGAGCCCCACGATGGCCATTCCCGACAGGACGATGCTCCAGAGCAGGGGCTTGTTCTCCTGGAGACTCTCCATGAAGGGATGGCCCTGGGAGACAGGGAATGGCTTGGGATGGGGCACTGGGAGGGACTGGGAGGGAATAGAGGGAATGGGGGAATGGGAGGGAATGGGGGGAATGGGACACTGGAAAAGGTTCCCGAGGGAGCTCAAGGAGGGCTGGGCTGAGGATTTCAGGGATTTTGGGATTCCTGAGCAGGGAATGGGGTGGGATGGTGGATCCCGGGGGCTGATCCCGAGGGATGTTCCCTGGATCTCCGGGCACCTTGTAGTTGATGGCGAAGGTGACCATCTGCATGGCCATGGACAGGATGTACACGGTGCTGTTCACCAGGCTCGGCTCGAATTCCTTGCTCAGATCCACGAATTCCTCCTCCCTGCAGCGGGAAAACACCCCAGGAATGCGGATGAGGAATGACCTCTGGAACCCCCCTGATCCCAGTTTTCCTGGGGAACAAAGCAGGTTGTCCCCAGCAGGTGCTGGAGGAACAGGGAAGCACCAGGGTCAGAATTCCCTGTGTCCCGTCCCTCCATCCCTCGTCCCGAGTCCCTCTCCAGCTCTCCTGGAGCCCCTGGAATGTGCTGGAAGCTCTCCCTGGATCCTTCTCCAGGGGAACATTCCCAGACCCGCAGCACATTCCCACTGCTCCCTCTCTCCCCGCTCCTGCCCAGCAGGAATTGGGGATGACTGGGGTTTTTTGGGAATGGGGGCTCACCTGGGCCTGCTCCGGGCCTGGAATTCCCGGCAGGAATTGGGGATGACCGGGGTTTTTTGGGAATGGGGGCTCACCTGGGCTCGCTCCGGGCCTGGGCCCCCCGGTACAGGAAGACGAGGCTCAGGAAGTGCACCAGGAACTGCAGCAGCACCGTCAGCACCGTGTACAGGTTGAAGATGTTGGGAAGGGGCCTCTCCTTGGAAAGGGTCTTCAAAGGCTGGGAATGGGGGGAAAAAACAGGGAGCGGGGTGGGCTGGGATGCCTTGGGAAGGCTCCAGATCCCAGCGGTGTCCGTGGGCTGCAGGAATTCCACTGTGGCTGCAGGAATTCCCCCTCGGGAGCAGAATCCCAAGGTTGGGGGCAACCTGGCCCATGGAATGTGCCCCTGGAGGCAGCACGGGCTGGGATTTAAGGTCCCTTCCTGCCCAAA